CGGGCTGCGAGGCTCATGGGCGGCGTCACGGCTTGCACCAAGTGGCGCGTCGACGCCGGCTCTCGCTCGTAAATGCTGCGCACAACGTCTTGGATCGTCGCGCCCCGGGTCCCGCGCAAAGCCGCGAGGTGCTCTCCCATCGCCTGGTACGCCGCTCGGCGGTACGACCACGCGTGTCCTACCTCCCACTCGAAAAGAGGGTTGGCCCGCGCGGCAGCGCCCTCGACTTGGTCCATCCAGTCGGCCAGCACAAGCTCCATGAGGTCGTGGTACTCGGCCGTCGACGCGAGCGGGATGTCGAACCGACCGAGCTCGGGGCGCGCGACCAACGCGGTGGGCGTGCTGCTCGCAAACAGCGTCTTATCAAAGGCCGCGCGATCAAGCACGCAAAACATCCACACAAGGCGCTCGGCGCGAGGGCCAAGGAGCCGGCGGATCTCTGGCCGCTTGGCCATCGGGAGCTTGTAGCCCTGGAAGCCCTCGGTGCCGTAGATCGAGTGGAAGAGGCCGGCATCGCACACATCGTCGTCCGCTCCAAAGACGCGCAAGACGGTTTGCACGCCCACGAGATGCTCGTCGAACGCGGCCTCTACAAGCCGCATCAGCACTCGCCTGTCCCGTCTCGTGTAGCGCACCGCCCGTGTGCTCGAGGGCCTCGGGGATCGACGCGCGAAGGAAGCGGTGGAGCGACGCGTCGTGCGCCTGCCACGCAGCCACGCGCTGGGGCGCGAGCGTCGCCTTCCAGACGTCGACGGCCGCGCGAGCGAGGACGTTGGTTGGCCGCATGATCTGGACTGACGGTCTTGGTCGCGTTTGATTGGCCATTGTAAAATACCACCCTATGATTGGTCAAAACATGGCGTATGGAATCCTGCCCAATCCAAGCTCGAGGCGGTTGTGTGCGTCATCTCGGCACATCAAACAATGCGTACATTCGATTGAAAAGTTCTCGGCACTTCACTGTACCGTGGCGACTTGGCAACAATGGTCCTGACACGTGGTCTGTATGACGATGCATCTTCAGCGCGATTTGAGGCGGACGAAGATCCGACGTTGAGGTAGAGATGAGGCCGCAGCCTGCTTCATTTTTAGCTCGGCGACGTTGTCTGCGTTTGCTACGCGATTATGAAAGCACTTTAGTGTTGTCCATCACGCCGAAGTAATAGATGCGACCCGTGATGCGAAGGAATCGGTCCCGACAACTAAAAGCTACGCGTATATCTTTCTTGAGCTCACAGCTCACACGACCGATGTCCAGGGTAACGTGTTACGACGTCGGTGCCAGTACATGTGCCCGTCACGTCTGTACAGCCAGAGGGTTCTTGACGGTCAACGCCCCTCGCTTTTGGATCGACCAGCAACGGCTCGTGCTCAGTACTTGAACGACCGCTTCAGCAACAATGGCTCGCGTTGGACGACTCGGAGAAGCCTGCGCCAGAGTGCTCCGAATTCATACTCTTGACATGCGTAACCAACAGGTCGACTCGGGCGAAGTCAACCAGCCTATAGTTAGACGCGCGTATAGATAGGACCAGTCGACACGACAGGCGCCGGCACCGATGTGGTTGCGCACCTTCTTCTCCTCGGGGCTCTCCAAGTACGTCTTGACCGACAAGAGTGCGCGGGGCGATGGGCACGGCAATCACACGCCCGTCGTTCAGATCTGGTATCGTATCCTCTCCAACCTCGTGGCCGCCGTCCTCGTCGCGCTGTCGCTCGCAGCGCTCGCCGTCGTTGTGGCGCAAGGCACGTTTCGCCGCGAAGACGTGCAGTACCACGACCAGGCCAAAGCCTCGTACTGGAACAGCTACGGCGCGTCGTGCAAGCTCAATCACGCAGGCTGGGTTCCGCACTCGTGCAGCGCCATTGAGGTCAACACGACCGCGAATGCCGTTGCGTGGAATGCCATTGGCGCCAACGTTGCTGCACGCTTGGCAATCCCAGCGGGTGCCACGTATTCGGTGTCGACGTGCTTTATGGGCGCCACCCCAGAGATCGGGTGGGCGTCGCTGCAGCTCTTGATCGGGTACGACGACTTCCCCACGTGCTGCCCCCAAAACGGGTCCCAAACCATTGCCGGCTTGTTCATGGTTGAGACGGCGCTGCGCATGACACACCCCGAAGGCGTGTACCTCGTCACGGGGTTCATCGACAAAGTCACCACTACCACCAAGGTCTACACTAGTACCGATGGCTCGACCCACCGCCTTGTCGCCGGGGTCGAAACAATGCAAGTAGCGCTGAATGGCACGACGGCCCCCGACCCAATTGGCCGCAACACGGAGATACCGTCGTTCCCGCTCGGACGCCGGTACGCAGTCTCGTCCCACAACCAAGCAGTGATGGTGGCGATCTTCGACGACTTGGACACGGATCTCGGCTGGAGCACGGGCCGTGACTCCAAGATACCAGTGGTCTCGGGCTGGATCGTCGGGCATTCGGTCGACAACGGAGACGAGCTTCTTGCGATGCAAATCGTATTCTCCATTGCAAGCATGTTGCTCTTCTGGGGCGACGTGTACATGACGATGGAGGGACTGCAAGGCGTCCTGCGCAACAAGCCCGTCTTGACGTACGACGTGCTCTCGGGTCTCGAACGTCGCAAGCTGCTCATGCTCTTTATCAC